TTTATTTGGGTTTAACTGGTGTAATGAACTATCCCCAAATTTGAGAGGCTTTAGATAGAAAAAAAATTATATGTTGTTCATACAATAATCTGATGGCACATAAAAATCTCTTAGGCAGCTGTTCTTTAAGCAACAAATCAGAGTCAGTAACATTCATTCTATCTATGGCTATGCCACATAGATGTTTCCAAGGAGAAATAGAAGATGGAGTTAGACTAGGATTGTGTGTGAGGGTCTTAAAAGTTAGTCTTACAGGTGATTTATATCATTCATCTTTGTTCACATTCCATTGGCAAGAATTGTGCCATATGACTCTATATAACTGCAGAAGATACTGAGAAAGTAGTCCTCTTGCTCAAGCAGAAAAAGGAACCAGTGTAATGAGCATGCAGCCGTGTTCCCACCACAGCAGTACATTAATTATTTACACAGTGTGACCCAAATTTTATTACATATAGGCAAGCACAGTTCAATGAATAATTTCATATGGCTATTCTACCCATGGAATCCTGATATGGTGTTGTGGGTTAATGCACCAGGCTGCAAAGCCATTTTAACTGTAAGGTTGGCAGTTCAAGCTCACCAGCTGCTCCTTGGAAACCCTACACAGGATCACTATGGCTTGCAGCTGACTCGATGGCACTTAACAACAATTTTACTCATGGAGTCCTGGTGTGGTGCTGTGGGTTAATGCACCAGACTGCAAAGCCGTTTGAACTGCAACATCGGAGGTTCAAGCTCACCAGCCACTCCTCAGAAACCCTATATAGGGTCACTATGGATCAGAACCGACTCGACGGCACTTAACAACAACATTCTACCTATAGTCTTTGTAACTCCACTGTCTAGGCTGGGTTCTTTAGGGAAGCAGAACTGTGAAGCTTATATATGTATATATAAAGAGAGGCTAAATCAAGGAAATGGCTCACAGTTATACAAGTGGGCAAGGTTAGACAGCATGCAGGCAGGTGAGGTGGGTAAGATGTACAGCTGCTGATGACTCCCAGCATTACCAGATAATAGAGCCTACAGCTGGCTCAAGTCCAAAAAAGCCAGAAGTTAGATGACAAGTCAAATACAGAATCCAGAACCAGTAGAAAGCAAGCAAGCTTTGCCCAAGTGTTCAATATATTGGAAACTGGCCTCACATCCAAGGAAAAATTTCTTTCAATTGATAGACTATTCACAGCATCTCTCATTATTGAGAATGATTAAGTCTTAACTCCCAAGCCACTAAGAATGCTGGCCCAGTCAATTTGACCCAAAACATTAATTATAACATCCACTAAACATTTTTGCCCTCCTGGATCTGGGTAAGAGAAGGTAGGAGAAGATGCAGATAGTATGATATGATTCCATTGTGACTGTTTAACAGAATTCATTGTGATTTTTAAAAGTTGGAACTCTAGTGTGGATCTAAGATGACATGTATCAAAAGCAGGAGTGGGTATCACAGAAGAGCTTGGAGTGGAGTCATGCCTGATATCCTTGTGCACTGAACTTCCTCAATTCCAGGACAGAAAGTGGTGACACTGGAGGAAAAGCAGAGGAGCAATAGTAGCAGAAAGAAAAGCCAGAGCACAAGACCTCTTGGTGGGCTTACCAGTCCACAAAGCAAGTAAAACTGAGTGACTTTATGCAGGAAGCTTACTAGCAGGGCAGAATGTCTCTAGATACTTTACAGGGGATCTAGGTTTGCTGACCAGAGTTAGAGCCTAGAGTCTTCAGAAAGAGGCTTATGGTGGAGTGGTATGTCCTGTGGACATTTTATCAGCAGCCCTAGAAGAGTTTTATAGCATTGCTGGAGTAGGAACAGGGCAGAGGCCAAAGGGCCTGTTGCTGACAGGCCAATGACCAGAGAGAGGCCTGCCTGTGGATATGGCTGAGAAGAGGCTATCCTGACTGAAAGAACCGTATCCTGAACATTTCTGGTCCTGCATTGTAATCCATTAATTTCTCTAATAAACCTAACAACTGAGTATGGTTTCTGAGTTCTGTATGACAGTTACAATGAATTATTGAACCTAGTTAAGTAAAGAGGACGGTGGGAGGAATGTTTGGTGCTCATTTTTATTTATTTATTTATTTTTGAGTTTGTTGTCAGAAATGAGATTCATAGAATGCTACCAGATTCATGGAAACATGGGGTTTTGTAGGAGACAGTACAAAGGGATATGGGAAACAAAACTTTTGATTCTTAGAAGGTTACTTTAGTGGTTAACTGTTAGGAATATACAAGATGCTATGCTGCTGCTGAGGGAAGTAAAGCATTTACTTAAGTCACTGGACAGAGAAACAAGATGGCTGATAGGTGTCCATGGCTTACTGGGTCTGCCATGCCAGTCAGAGGCCCAAGGCCATATGCACATGTGTGAAGGAGTGGTTATTAGACAGTTGATTCCAGAAAGCCTGTAAGCCTGTCTTTAGATTATATTTGATTGGAAATGCTGAAAGGGGAGTTAAGAATTGCCCAGAAAAAGCAGGCTTTTTAAGTCTTTGCAAAGTAAGGGATATGGTAAAAACCTAAGCCCCATCCAGAACTACTGTGGGAACAGATTTACTGCAGGAAAGGCCTACAAGAGGAACCTTTTTTTTTTTTTTTTTAAATTTTTGAGCAAGCAGTTTGCCATTGGATTTATTGAGGCAGGAAAAATCTTTGCCAACAGAAAAAACCCACTTCTGGAACTGAAAGTTGGAGGGAGCTGATGAGCAGCCAGCCTGGTATGCTAATTGTGGTGACCACAGAGGTCCATTTAATGACTAGAAGTGGGGGAGAGTGCAGCCATGAAGAGATGGGTTGAGAGAGGAGAGAAAGGGTTGATGGGTCTGACGTATGGGCATTGTATGCACTCCTGAGCGTAAGGGCACCAACCTAGCCCATGGGGGCTAGGATTGAGAGAGAGAGAAGGGGCCAGTTAGTCTAAAGTACCAAGAGGTATGTATGTACTCCAAAGCTTGCAGCTAGTACCTATTTGACTCAGCTGGAGCAACTAAGTCTGAATTGACCAGAACACAACCTAATTAAGAGAGAGATGTTTAATACTGTGAGCTGGTAAAAATTGCTGACATTTTGTTGGTTTACTCTGGTCTGGACTTTGCGTATGGATGCAGAAGTCCAAAGTTCCAACAGAAACAGAAGATTCTTCATATTAAGATAAATGCTTGTCTCTAGAGTACTTAGTTGATAGGGACAGGCAATTTAGTCCTGGTGTGACCTACCACAAGGCTAGTTTGAATTGCAAAATTAGTGGTTCAAACTCATTAGCTGCTCCTTAAAAACCCAATGCAGTGTCGCTATGAATTGGAATCAACTCAATGACACTTACCAACAACAAAAATGGGAGTAAAGGCATGAAATTTCTGATTTATAAACTTTGATTGCGTTCAGTTAAAATGATTGTTATGGGAAAAAGTTAATCCTTGAAGTATGAAAAGGCCAGCGGTTAGAAGAGCCAGGGGTGGCCTGCAGTGTAGTGAATAACTTAATATTGCTCTGTGGTGGTGGTGGTTGTGTGCTGTGAAGTCAGTTCTGATTCATAGCGACCCTGTATAGGGTTTCTGAGGCTGTCTTTACGGGAGCAGAAAGCCTCATCTTTCTCCCACAGAACAGCTGGTAGTTTTGAATGCTGACCTTGAAGTAAGCAGTCCAACTTGTAACTACCATGCTTTCAGAGCCCCATACCCAAACAACATTTTTTTTCTTCTGGGCCTGGGTAAGAGAAGGTGGGAGAAGATACTGATAGGATGGTATGATTCAATTGTGATTGTTAACCGTTAACTAGAGCTCTAATTGGGTTTAAAACGAGCTATCTCAGAAATAGGGGTGATTTCAGTATCATTAAAGAAGAAGAATCAGGAGTGGAGTGTGTCCTTTTCATCCTGAAATCCTGGCACATTGAACCTCCTTGACCGAGGGACAGAGGAATATATGCAAAGCATGGAAATTTGAATATGTATCGTTTCTGAAATTTGTTTTCAAAATATGATCTCTGGGCCATGATCATCACCGTGGGTCACTTCAATTAGAACAATCTGGACCAATTATTCACAATAGGCTGCCTATTCCAGACTTCCTGAGTCAGAAACAATAGGAGTAGGGAGCCAGCAATCTTTTTTAGACAATCTCTTCTGGGGATTTTAGGCATGCTAAACTTTGAGAAGCACTAATCTAGGAAACTCTGAGGAGTTTTGTGCAGCTTAATAATAGGAGTATGTGTTAGAGATGAAACTGACGAGTAAGCAGAGATCAGACAATGAAGTCCCTTCTGTGCTTTGTTTAAAATTTTTATCCTAAAGCTCTTAAGTATTCTCTCAAGGAGTTTTAATTGGGGAAGATATATTTTGAGCTGGCTTTCTGTGTAGATAAAGCTTCTGTGACACGTTAAAATATTCCATTTCATCTATACATAAATTAAAATTGTATTTTAATCAACTTGAGTTTGCAAACTGATAAAAAATTAAAGATTGAAAAAGAGATTATTACCTTCATGAATATTATCTCATTCTGTATACTTGGACAGGATTTCTAAAGGACTATTCATTTTTGGCCTATCCAGATACATAATTTGTTTATATAGAATTGGTCCAAATTTGAGTTTTAATGAGTATTTGTGTTTTTTTAGAAGTAAAAATATTGTTAATTCATAAAACAGGTATCTTTTGGGAGAGTTTAGATCCAAGATGATGAGTGCATTTATGAAATACAACTCCAGAATTGTTCTTGTTTTTTCAACTGTTCAGAAAATCATACTGAAATAGATATCACAAAACATCAAGCCTTGAAATAATGCAATTCTTTTGTTATAAGATATGAAATATTTTTTAAATGCTTCTTACAGGGTTTTTTTTTTTCTGTTATATTTTATTTAGAGTTCAAAAGTTTGAAGTTGTGCAAGGACTTTACTTAAATTTGGAGGCTAGGACTTGGTTCTCAAAACTTGAAACAATACATGGATCGTATATATTCAGATCACATTTTTCTTTTTTAAATTTGTGTTTAGGAAACGGCTGGTTTCTAGATGATATTGTGGTCAAAGACCCCAGGAAAAACCATGAATATGTCTTCAGTTGTCACAGGTTTGTAGGTGTGCTCTTACATTGTGCAAATTGGTTTCATGTTAGTTCCAAGTTCTTGTATTTTTGATAACTGTAACAGTAAATCATTTATTATCAGGTTGGTGGTGTTTTATTGGTTAATTTTTGTGAATATTAATTTTAGAGAGTGCTGCTTTCTTTGAGAAAAGATACGAGGATAAGTAAAAAACAAAACAAAAAAAAAACATTACTACTAGGATACTGGTTCATATAGGCATAGATTTATTCCAAAGAAAGTATGTTTAAATATCTCTCTATGATTACTGGATGGCTGAAGACAAGATCTCTCGATAATATACTTGTCTTAGTCTCTTTAGGGTGCCTTTAAAAAAATTCAATAAAAAAGTGTCTGCTGAGGGGATTTACAGGTGGTGGTAGTGTACTGTGAAGTTGGTTTCTAACTCATACCAACACTGTATTGTGTTTCTGAGGCTATAAGTCTTTAGGCGAGCAGAAACCCTCATCGTTCTCCCACAGAGTGCCTAGTGGACTAGAACTACTGACCTTTCTATTAGCAGCCCAATGATTAACCCACTATGCTAGACCAGTTCAATTCAAGGCCGAGAGGTCAGCTTATGGTGACTGTCTTTTAGAATTCTAATGGGGGAATAATTGATAAATTTTCTTGAAGGATACAGGATAATCATGGGACTTATCATGAAGAAGTTTTAAGAAAATCAAAAACTGCATTGATGAGAAGAAAGCCAGAAAAGTTTTAGTGAGGACATTTTTTTTTTTCCCATCACAAAAATGAACCTGGTAATTCTTCAAGGGTAACAAGGGATGTTCAACAAGAATTTCACTGGGTAATCTTATCCATCCCATCCACTATAAGACCTTATCTTGCCCCTTCAGACTTGTTTTTGTTTCCCACAATTATAGAACATTTAAAAGGAAAATTATTTGAGCCCCTCAATGATGCCTAAACTGCCCTTTTGACATGGTGTAAATCTATAAGTGCTGTGTTCTTCTGGGAAGGGATAGAGCAATGGAAACACCAATTTTAGAAGTGTTTAGAACTTGGAACTTCTAGCAAGATGGGCAAACTAGGCAGACACTACCTAGATCATTTACATGAAGAAACAACACAAAGTGTCTCAGAAAAGTGACTAAAATGCAGAGCCAGAAAACATTTCTGAGGAATAAAAGGTATTGGAAACACCTGATAAAGAATTCAAAAGAATGATATTTAGAAATTGATAAAGTTACAGAGGAAAGCAAGGAAAACACAGAAAAACTTCAGAAGAATTCAGAAGGAAAAAGCTTTAAGAACAAATTGACAAAATAAATGAAAAAATTAGAAGCAATATAAAAACTGCACATAGAAATCCAGAAGATTAATTCTAAGATTTCAGAAATTGACCATACGTTGAAAAGACAATGTATATTTCAATCAAGGGAAAGCCAAATTAGTAAGCTTGAAGACAAATCTCTCAATTCTAATCTTCTAGAACAAGGGATAGGGAAATTTTTTTCTGCCAAAATTAATAGCATCGTTTCAGATGATACAAAATTATCAACTTAAAAATTAGCTTGCTTTATTTGGTCAGACATTTAGATAACTTACCTCTAATGTGATGACTAGAACTGTGGTTGCCTTGGTAGGGTCAGAGCAAATGATTTCAAGATGTTCCCCACCTCTGCTCTAGAAGAACAATCAGGGAAAAAAAGGAGGAAAAATTCAAAGAAAGTCTAAGATTTATGTGAGATGCCAACAAAACAGATCAACTCACATGTAATCAGAATTCCAGAACAGGAAGTGACACCACCACCACCAACAAAAAGAAATAGAGAAATTTGTCAAGGAGTTGTTAGAAGAAAACTTCACTAACATCATGAAAGACAAAAAAAAAAAAAAAAAGTATTCAGGAAACAGAACGAAGACCAAATAGGAAAAACCCTAAAAGAAATTCACCAAGACTATAAATCAAACTTTTAAAAACCAAGACAAGGAAACAATCCAGAGAGTAGCTCAGAAAAAAAAAAAAAGTAACCTACAAATCAGAAACAATGATTAAATTCTAATTTCTCAGCAGAAATTAGTCTTATGTGTGGAATGACATATATAAGACTCTCAAAGAAAAAGTTACCAACCAAGAATCATATTCTCAACAAAATTGTCCCTCAAATATGGCAGTGAAATTAGAACATTTTGAGATAAAACAAAAATAAAAGGAATTTGTAAAAATGAGATTAAACTTTACAAAAATATACAAAAGGGAGTTATTTGAACAGAGAACCATTAACTTTAGATAAAATAGTCTTTGAGGCAAAAATAAGTATGAGAGACAATGAAGGACATTGTATAATATTAGAGTGTCAATTGAACAAGACATAACCATAAAAAAATTATGCTTCCAATAATAAAACCTCTAAATACATAAATCAAATTCAAACATAATTGAAAAAAATAGGTTAATTCTACAATAATAATAGAGTTTTTTTCAATAAAGTACAAAAACATAAACTCAACAAAGACAAAAAGCATTAAACAACACAAGCAACCAACTTGACCTCACAGACTTATATTGAGAACTCAAGCCAACAATAACACAATATACATTATTTTCTAGTGCACATGGAACATTCTTCAGAATAGACCACATGTTAAGACAAAAACAAGCCTCAATAAGTTTTAAAACATTGAAATATTTACAAAGCATCTTCTCTGATGATAATGTTATAACATTGTGGTTGTTGTTGTTATGTGCCGTGGAGTTGGTTCCAACTCATAGCGACCCTGTACAGGGTTTTTGAGGCTGTAAATCTTTACAGGAGCAGAAAGCCTCATCTTTGCGGAGCAGCTGGTGGTTTCGAACTGCTGACATTGCAGTTCACAGCCTGATTCATAACCACTACACTACATACTAAAAATAGGAAGGTAAGGGGAAAAATAAAATACATGGAAATTAAATGCCAGCCCACTTAAAACGACTGGGTAAGAGAAAAAATAATAAATGGAATAAAACAAATTCTTAAATCTAGAAAAAATGAAAACACAACGTACCAAAACCTTTCATTTTTATTAGGTGCCTTTGTCAGTTCTGACTCAAAGCAACCCTTTGCACAACAGAATGAAACACTGTCCAGTCCTGTACCATCCTCAAAATTGTTATGTCGGAACCCATTGTTTCTATCACTGTGTCAACCCATCTCACTTGAGTACATCTTTCTCTTTTTTTGCTTACCCTCCATTTTACCAAGCATGATGTCCTTCTTCAGGGATTGATTCCTCCTGACAGCATGTGCAAACTCTGAGAGAGGAAGTCTCACCATTCTCACTTCTAAGGAGACTCTGGCTATACTTCTTCCAACACAGATTTGCTTTCAGCTAAAATCCATCTGATATTAGCAAAGATATTCTTTGTTCCACATCCTTTTCTGAATCCAGCTTAAGTTTCTTCCAGCTCCTTGTGATGTACTTCTGTAACAGTTTTTGAGTTACCTTAAGAAAAATATTAATTATATTTTTCAATAGTTTCTATATTCCATTTTTTTAAATGGGCACAGATATGGATCTTGTTCAATCATTTGGCCAAGTAGCTTTCTTCCAGATTTGTTGGCATAGATGACTGAGTGCTTCAAACACTAAATCAGTATGTTGAAACATTTACATTTATATTCTTTCAATTCCTGGAGTATTGTTTTTTTCACTAAGGCCTTCAGTGCACCCTAGACTTCTTCATTCATTATCATCGGTTCTTGATCTTATGCTACCTCTTGGAATGGAGAAAGTGATAGAAATTGAAGACACCTGGAAACAGTTCATTCAATGGACTAATGGACCATGTGAACATCAGTCTCCCCGATCCTGAAACCAGAAAAAATTAGATGGTGCATGGCGTCCAGGACGGAAGTGAGATAAGTTATGTTACACTGAGGGAATTGCAATCACTGAGATGAAACAAAGTGTAGGATTTGTTGAATGCAGAATTGATGATCTGCTCTGTAAAGCTTTATTAAGTTCACAACAAAAAAAATGAAAAAAAAAAAAATAGTATGTAGGCCTAGATGAAGGCTATGTTGAGAAACAGAGGTTTCCATTTTGGATAATTTGGTTTAACAAAATTTTCTATGAATTTTGGGGTCCTGGTGTGGTGTTATAGAATAAGCACTGGACTGCTAACCACAAGGTCAGTGGTTTAGATCCATCAGCTGTTCCTCAGAAAACCTATAAACGAGGTCACTATGAGTTAGAATTGGCATGATGACACTAAACACAACAGCATGATTTTGTAGTTAAACTTTTTTACTTAACCTCATATGTGTTATCTTTATAATGATTCCTGGTGATGGAAAATTAAATCTTTCTTAGTGATGCTGTTATTGCTTCTAGGTGCTGGTGAATTGGTTCTGACTAATAGTGACCTTATGCACAATAGAATGAAACACTACCCAGTCCTGCACCATCTTCACAGTTGTGGTTACATTTGAGCCCGTTCTTGTTACTACTGTGTCAATCAATCCATCTCATTGGGAGTCTTCCTCTTTTTTGCTGACCTTCTATATTACCAAGCATGATGTCTGTCTCCAGGCACTGGCTCCTCCTGATAACATGTCTGATGTCTGAGAGATGAAGGAGCATTCTGGCTGTACTCCACCCAACATAGATTTGTTTATTCTTTTCTGGCAGTCCATCATACTTTAATTATTCTTCTACAATACCATAATTCAAATGCATGGATTTTTTTCTATAGTCTTTCTTACTCACTGTCCAACTCTTCCATGCATATGATGTGATTGAAAATACCATTACTTGGATCAGGTGCACCTTAGTCCACAAAGATATATCTGTGCTCTTTAACACTGTAAAGAGGTCTTTTTCAGCATTTGCCTAATGCAATAAATACATTGATTTCTTGACTGCTGCTTCCACGTATGTTGATTGTGGATTTAAGCAAAATGAAGCTTTTTTAAAAATGTTTTTATTTTGCATTGAGTGAAAGTTTACAGGGCATATCATCAGTTTCACATTCAACCAT